AGCCCACCAGGGGGCGGGGCTGGCTGGCATGTGGTGCTGGGGGATTGAACCGTGGTCCCTGTGCTTTGCTAAGCTTGTTCTAAGTAGGTGCTTTAGACCATTGAGCCATCTCACCAGCCCCCTGGTTATCCTTTTCAGGGAGAAAAATAATTTGATTTGAGAGTCCCAATTTTCTTGCCAGGAACTTTGGGGTACAAAATCAGGCTGCTCAAGCTAGAGGTATCAGAGTGATGTCCTTTGATGGTTGCTAACCACCAGCAAAGAGAAACTCTCAAAATTGCAAAAGCATGACTTTTACCTAATATAATACGAGCATGTGTGGAAGATTTTATTTAACCAATCAACTTAAGAGGGAAGCAATAAGATATTTAACTGACTCAAAAGAGAACCTATGGCTGCGAGTAGGCACAGGGCTGAGAGTTTGATCCCCGGGCCTGCAGTGCCAGCCTGCCCCAAGGGTGCGCTGAGACAGCAACTGAGACTGGGCGTGGTGGTGCCACCTGTAATCCCAGCTCTTGGGAGGCTGTAAACGGAGTCCAATCTAGTAATGAGACCCTGAACACCCTGTAGATCCTTCCCTAAAATACACACACACACACACACACACACACACACACACACACAGAACCTAGAGAATAGACACATACAGGAGTCATGAAAGTTGAAATCAAATTGCTAAAAGAAACAAATGAGTTTTTAATTATTTATTTATTTAGTATTTAGGACAGGGTGTACAGGGTCTCACTGCGTAGGTCAAACTTGTAGTGATCCTCCTGTTTACAGCCTCCCAAGTGCTGGGATTCCAGGCGCACATCACCATGCCCAGTCCTAATTGCCCAGTCTCAATTGCCCAGTTTCAATTGACATCTCAGTATGCCCTGTGGGTGGGGCCAGCATGGCAGGCCTGGGGATGGAACTCTGCCCCCTGTGTCTAGCTAAACAAGTGCTTTAATCGGCTGAGCTATTTGGCTGGCCCTACAAATGAGTTTTTTAATAAGTACTGAAAACATATTAATTGATTAGTTAATATTTACAAACACTAAAATGTCATGTCTAAAATAATCTTTTTGGGGCCGGGGAGATGGCTCAGTGGAATAAGCGCTTCCCTGGCAAGCACAAGGGTCTGAGTTCAATCCTTGGTTCCGCAAAAA